CTCTTTATTTTGCTGAGGAAGACTGGCTCTGGGCTAACATCCGTGCCCATTTTCCTCTGCTTTATATGGGACACGGCCTCAGCATGGCCGGAGAAGCAGTGCATCCGTGCGCGCCTGGGATCCAAACCCGGGCCACCAGCAGCAGAGCGCACGCACTTAACTGCTATGCCATGGGGCCAGCCCCACTGGCCCCTTCTGATAAGGGCACTAATGCCATTCACGAGGACTCCATTCTCATGACTTAATTGCCTCCCAAAGGCCCCACCTCCAAATACCATCACACTGGGATTAGGGTTTCAACATAGGAATTTTGGGGGAGACACAGATATACAGTCCATTGCACTCGGGGTCAAGTTCTGCTTCTGCCATTGACTAGTCTCATGGTTTTAGTCATTTAGTGTTTCTAAACCTTACTTTCTGTATCTATGAAATAGTACTCATCCTCTCTGCCCTCAGGGCTATTTTGGAACTATAAAATGTAAGTTCTATAACAAATACTTCTTATTTCTCTTTCAGATAATGCCATATTTGGATAAAGTGCATCTCCAGAGACGCACAGAAATACAACCTCTTTGATCCTTCTTCATTGTCTCTCTATTTACAAATATTAATTATAAAAGAAGTCAAACAAAATTATTCACTAGATAACCAAGAAAATATCTTATTGTCACATATAACATATTTCATCTTCATTCATTCCATTCCATCATTTAGACTTAGATGTTTTGAAGAGAAGATTTGAGTTATTAAAGATACTTTCAAAGATGAATGACCAAAAAGTTCACTTTACAGTGATCTTCTCTTTACTAATATAAAATGTTTAAATAGTTTATATTTGTTTCTGTAAATTAGTGGAATATGTTGACCAACCCCACTAATCAAGTTGAAGGCTAAAGTTTCTCAAAGTTAAAACTTGCTTCTCTTGCTTAATTACATTAACTTACTCCACTAGAGCTATGATTTTGATAATTTGAATAAGTACATATCCTTGAGAAGGTGCCTATAGAGACTTTTGTTGTATTTCATTGCCTATCCCCAAAGCGGCCATTGCTAGAATCATCTCATGGCCAAATCCTATTTGGCTACTATCACCTCTGTGTCATTGCTTCTTGGATAGCAGCCTAATTTTCAAATTTTAACTCAGCTTATGTTCCTTGTTGTAGTATGAGTTAATAGCCTATTCCATATGGCAAGCTGAGCACTTCCTGGTCTGGAACCCAGCTGCTTCTTGGCATTTGTCTTTACATCAGTGAGACATTCACTTTTTATTTGGTTGCCCTCTGCCTCCATGGAAAGCTCAGATTCATAAACCAAAGCATTTTAATATTGGAAGGGATATGGATCCGTCAACTGGCCTAAAACCCTACCTCAGCTAGGCCTGCACCAGGGCACAGTGCGGATAAGATTCATCAACTCTGAGGGTGTGTAAAAAAAAAAGCCAGACCCAAAGCTAATTTTTTGCTTCTCAAAATGGCAAACACCTAGTGTCAAGAGCTATGAGGTTAGCCTGCCACGGTTTCATGGGCATTGACAGAAGGCACGACTCCTGGTTCAGAGGCAAAGGCCTTTATTACTCAGAGCACAGCAAGTAGCACAAGCCTCATGTTCTGGTTGGTTCCCCTTGCCCTCCCCCACACTCCCCCGCTGCAGACCCCAGGGACAATGGGGAACTGCCCAGATAGATGCTACACACGTAGAGGTTTTGCCTCACAGCTGAAGACTCCTGAGTTTAAGAAACCCAACCTTCCTCCCAAGCCTGGAGGAAGACATTCTCTTTATTATACAGGGCAGTAAATAAACCTGCCCTCTGCTCCAGTGGGAGACCTTATCTCTGTCTCCCAAGGCCCTTGGCCATACAAACATCCTTGAAGAGACAGTCTGGAACAAAAGCTGTCAGTGATTCTGGCACAAGATTGTAGAAATGTTAGAGATCTGTGGAGAATTATCTCCCAATAGTTAGCAGCCCAAATAAAAGACTCATATACAGCATCAATCTTTCTTTGGCTCAATCTAATGTGAATCATAGGAGATAAACACATAGTAAATGAGTGTCAGATTATGTATAAAACAATTAACAACTTTTCTAACCTCATTTCTCTATAATCCCCTCCTACCTCCTCCCCCATACACCTCTGTTTTTATGGAACTACTTGCAGTTCTCTGCCTTATTCTGCCACAAGCCCCCATTCTGTTCACCTGGCTAACTTTAGTTTAAATGAAATTTAGTTTAAATACCACCTCCTTCTCCCACCCCCTTTCCCTCTTAGGTGTTTCTACTCTGTCCTCCTCTATATACCCTACAATGGCCTCAGGCTAAAACCAGAAACTCAAAAGTCACAATATATATTTTAGATTCTGACCCTACCTGAAATCACAAGTCCAGCCACCTCCCTCAACGCTCCCAGGAGTGTTTCATATCTGTGGATGCATGTGTTCCATCAGTAACCACGTGGGGATCAGTAATTTCCTCCTTTTCTGCTCTGGCTTCCTGTAGAGCTGTCAGCAGGTGAGCTCCCAAGTCAAGCCCACTAATGCCTGTGCAGGATGGCTTCCTGTGGCACCCTTGGTATTCCAGAAAAGACTTCAGTGTGGCCCACCATTGCTGCTGAAGCTACCAACATCTAATGCCTCTTCCCTGGAGAAGGTCTTGCAGGCCACAGTGGGAGAGCTACATCTCTTTCCTGGCACTGCAGATGTGTCCAAAAGGAGGGGCCTGGCAGAGCCAGAAGCCAAGCAGCCGTGGAAACCAGGACGCTGCCATCTAAATAATACCTCCTGAACAAGAGGGGCTGAGGCAATCCTAGGGCTGGACGGTGGACCCAGCCAATGGAGGGATGTGGGTGGGCAGGTTTAAGGACACTCAGCTGTGAAAGTGTTGCCCAAACCTGCACTTTTCTCTCTTTCCTACAGTGTGATGGGTGGGTAAATTGGCTCCACTTAAAGCGCCAGGGGAGGAGCAGAGACTAGGGGATGTGAGGAAGTTTCCCTTGGAGGTTTTAGTGAAAAACCTCTTTCAAATTATTCCTCTCTTTTATTGGAGGACCCTCTTCCTCATTCACGAGTCTGTGAGGCTGTTCTACAGAAAAATCTGAAGCACAGATATCACACTAGAGTTACACTCACCCAAGGTTTGGGTTCCGGGACTCAACTCTCTTTTGCCTTGAGCACAGGGTGACAGACTTCCTCTGATTTTCTATTTCAAGAACAGATTTCAAGGTGATGTATCCGGCAAGGATGACCTGAGGCATCTCCTTTTGTAATGTTATCTTTCTCATCAATGAAATAAACCAAACATCACCTCTGTCAACCTGTGGTCACATAGACAGGTCAGTTCCTCAAAAGTGAGTCTCTCCTGCCTTAGGGCCGTGACATCCGCTCCTCCCTCTGCCTGGGAGCCTCCTTCCCCAATCTCAGATCTGGCTCCTCACCTTTCAGCATCTCAACTAGCATGTCACCTCCTCAGAGGCCTTTACCGACCACCTCATCTAAAGCAGATGGAACTCTGCCACGCAAATATTTATTACTAAGCAGGCAAAAATAAAAGTCGTGGAATATGTTCCATAAGCTCAATGAAGTCCTTGCTCTTGCCTTGCTACTCAAAGTGTGGTCCATGGACCAGCAGCATCAGCATTATCTGGGAGTTTTGTTTTTTGTTTTGTTTTGTTTTTGTGAGGAAGATCGGCCCTGAGCTAACATCCATGCCAATCCTCCTCTTTTTGCTGAGGAAGACTGGCCCTGGGCTAACATCCATGCCCATTGTCCTCCACTTTATGTGGGATGCCGCCACAGCATGGCTTGACAAGCGGTCTTGACAAGCGGTGCAGTGGTGCATGCCCAGGATCTGAACCCGGGCCGCCAGCAGCAGAGCACGCGCACTTGACCGCTATGCCTCGGGGCCGGCCCCTGGGAGTTTTTTTGAAATACAGAATCCTAGGTGTCACCCCAGATCTACTGAAATAGAATCTGTCTTTTAACAAGATCCTCAGATGACTTATATACACATTAAAGTTTGAGAAGCACTGCAGATTAAGGCACCCTCACAATCCCCTTCTTGAATGAGTCACTCCACTTCCTAGTACATGCTTCTCAAGTCTGGCTGCACCTTGGAAACAACTGGTGAGCTTTTAACCAATTCCTTTCTTTAGGCCTTGATTTCAGCAATTCTCATTTGAATGATCTGGGTTGGGCTTTAGGCACTGGAATTTTTTAAAAGCTCCCCTGGAAATTCTGAAGTACAGTCAGGAATGAGAACCACTGTTCTAGCTGGGATTGAGCCTTCCAGTCAAAATCAAGTGACATAATCCTCTTTAGGGGCTGAATTCCAGACTAGAAGGAATCCCAGGCCGAAGGCATAATGCTGAAAAGTATAGGCCAGGGGTCAGCAAACTTTTTTCTGTAAAAGTCTCAAGGATGAGTATTTTAGTCTTTACAGCCATGTGGTCTCTGTCACAACCCCTCAATTTTCTTGTAGAATGAACGCAGACATATGTAAACAAGTGAGCATGACTGTGGTCCAATAAAACTTTATGGACACAAATCTGAATTTCATGTAACTTTCATGTATTTTGAAATATTATTATTCTCTTGATTTTTTTCAACCATTTAAAAATACCTCTTGCTCATGCAAGAGGGGCGTATCTAGCTAATCCAAATATCTGAGCCTCACTGTTTCACCATGAAATCACAATGAGAAATCATTATGTTAATTAATAAAGCCTCTGGTGTTAACTGAATGGAAGGTTGCTGAGGCACTTGTGTAAGGCCTACAGAGATGGCCCCTCATCAGTCTCTTCTACTGACCATCCTAACTGACCACCCCTGGAGTTTACATTTCCTATATTAACTAGTCGCTCCTTAGCATACAGATGAAGATGAACTAAGACAAACATATGTATAATACTGTTTAACCTGAAGTATTTAAAAACAAATTACATACAATATAGCACCAGCACAATTCCTGAATATAGCAGTTACTTAGTATTCATTGAAAGAATAGATATTCTAGATTGAAATTAAAGTGAGTAACCAATCTCTATCCCCACCAAAATTCAAATTATAATATTTACAAAGTATGTGGAGAAAAAGGAACCCTCATACACTGCTGGTGGGAATGCAAACTAGTGCAGCGACTATGGAAAACAGTATGGAGATTTCTCAGAAAATTGAAATACTGGATGATCCAGCTATTTCACTATTGTGTATTTATCCAAAGAATATGAAATCAACAATTCAAAAAGATATATGCACCCCTATGTTCATC